CAATTATAACAAAACCGTACTAAACGAAAAAACGCAAATAAGAGAAAGCTTTCACACACATATAAAAAAATGAACTAGTCTAATCCGCCAGTATAAACTCTGTGCTATACGTAGCCGGGTCAGGCGCACACTTTAAAAGATTTTACGTATTGCAGGTTTTCCAAAGTCATTTCCATGTGTGATATTGTCAACCCAAAGAAATCGCTATATCTTGGAAAATACTTATCCAATTGCACTCATAATTTCAGGAAAGAAAGAAGAGACTGTGCATGTAGAGCTCCTGTAGTTATTTAGTTGTAAAACATGAAGCCTTGGACACCTGCTCAAAAGACATTGGTATTAGAAAGATACGAAAAACGAAGTAAAAGGTGACTGCCACAGCAATAAAACAGCAATAAAACTTTCTAATCATAGTGTTTTGGCACTTCAAATTTGGCACAAATTATTCTCATTCAATGTGTGGGGAATTTGTAGAGTTTCATCAAAATCACTCCAGGGACTTTACAGTCATGGTCAAAATACCTTCTTAAGTCTGCCTGAACTAGGGCGTTTGACTGCGTTTTGAACGCATTTTGACCATAACTGTAAAGTCCCTGGAGTGATTTTAATTTCACTTTACAGATTTACCATACTAAATTTGAAGAGCTAAAACACTATGATTAGAAAGTTATTCGGTTTTATTTCTGTGGCAGTCACCCCTGACTGCGTTTTTCGTATCTTTCTAATACTAATGTCTTTTGAGCAGGTGTCTAAGGTACCATGTTTTATAACTAACCAACAACAGGTGCTATACAAACACAGCCTCTTCTTTCTTTCTTGAAAAAATGAACATAATTGCATTAGTATCTTCCAAGATATAGCGATTTCTTTGGGTTGCGTTTTTTTCTGAACACCCTGTATTCTTATAAAAATAAATTATGATTTACTCTTCCACAGGTTTCATTTTACCAATTTAAATGCACTTCCCAAGTTGAACACTCAATATAGAATGCAACCTGTGTGTATACAATGTGCAGGTCGCTCAATAAGATCTGATAGAAATGATGTGACTTTTTTATATTCTGACTAGTTTTTCTACTGCACATTGTTGAGTATTGTACTGATGTGCTGTGAGAGTTACAAGAATGTACTCGAACAGGAAGATTGTACTGGTTTGAGCCTAAGTTGGTGCATGGTGGTTCAGGTCTGCACAAAAAATCAAAATTAGAAACTTAAAATGTGAACATTCTCATACATAATTTTATTCTTGAACCCATTTTGACAGTTGGTAAATGAATACTGGTACTTAGATACCTTGGCAACACATATTGATGACATCAATGAGCAAGTTTTAAGGTGGAATTGACATCATGGAGTCATAATAATCACATTGATGTGACAAGTTGGTGCGCAAGCAATAGACCTAGGTGCAATATTCACATTTCAAGTTGGTCAATTTGAAACTTTTTTCGTGCAGACCTGATCAACCACTATTAACCACCTTTGACTCAACTCTGCACCATCATCCTATTGGAGCACATTACTGTAACTTACACAGTAGATCAGTATAATACTCAACAATGAGCAGTAGAAAAATTAGTCAGAAATATGAAAAATAAAAAAAGTTACAGTTTTCTTACGTGTATTATTCTATATTGAAAGTTTAAAGCATCTGATGACTTTAAAAGATTCATTACGATTTTACAATCATTGAATCAGATATAGCGATCACACTAAACAAAAATTGTCACAATTTTAAGATTATTTTTGGCTCATGTCATACCTTGTCATGTCTATTTTCTAAAAATCACAAAAGTCCATACTTTTTCCAGGAAAACTAAAGCTTTTACAATAACTTCACCAATTTATAATATATTGTGAATCTTTTGGGATATATTTATTCTATATTGTAAGGATTAGATTGGTAGGTCAATTATACATGTTGCTTGTAATTTTGTCACCCCATATAGATCAGATTCTGCCTTTAACCCTAGAAGTCAAAATGACCCCCCCCCCCTGTTAAGTTTTTTCCCAATAACTTTTTATATGAATCAGGTAGGATCTTCAAATTTTCAGTAGCTTGAACTACAGATATAACAAATCTTTTCTAAAAAAATCAGCAAAATTGTATATAGGGTGATTGATTTATTATGATGTAATCATCAGCTCTAATAAACAAAATCGGAAAAAGCTAGTACTATTTCTACCACACGTGTCATGTTTAGAATAAAATTATGCAATCTTACATCATCAGAGTTGTTATACCAAGTTGTAGATAATTGAATGAAGTATATATTGGTAAAGTTTGAACATCCTAGCTTTACTAATTTATTTTTAATTTATTATGATGTAATCATTAGCTTCAATAGACAAAATCGGGAAAAAGCTAGCACTAATTCTATCATACGTGTTGTCTTTAGAATAAAAGTACCCAATCTTACATCATCATAGTTGTTAAAAGTATTACACCAAGTTGTAGATAATTAAATGAAGTATAATTGTGAAAAGTTTAAATATCCTAGCTCTCCTAATAAAAAAATTGACAAGGGGGGTGCCCTTTTGACCCCCCCCCCCTTTGGTGTTCGTGTGACTTTTTTTTACCTTAGGGCTTCTAGGGTTAAATACCAAAGTTGGAAGTTGAATTATTATGCGCGTGGCAGAGGTCTGATAGCGGCCTAATGCATATCCCAAACGAGTAAAAAATACTACGTTGTTTACTACAGCTTCATTCATAGATTACGTGATGTTTATTATTATAATAAGATCACGTGATATTGGCGATTACAATAAGTGAACTAACACTCGCACTGACAGTCATAAAGTTTGATTTGGGTAAGAAATAAGGTAACGAAAACAACATGAATTTGTATAGCTCAACTTTTGCGTACAGGTTAACGTTTCGATGCTTTGCTTAAAGTCTCAAATATCCTTGCATTAAAAGAGATTTTTGTATTTGGAAAAACCAAGATGATTGGGGGTAGAGGGGCAAAGTTATGATAGTTTGAACGTGATGCCAATAAAATTGAGATTCATAAAATATTGATTCGTAGTTAGTTTCTAATGCTCTGGAAAATGCAAAAATATGAATTTTGCTCTGTTTGATAGTCAATCATATAGCATATTGAATTATCTTTCCAATATGCTTATTTTATGGAAATCGAGCCATTTTTGACCGTGTTGGGAATTAAAAAAATTAAGGTAAAAAACTGTCAATTGCCAAGTTATCGCGAATCGCGTTCTCTTCACGAATTTGAGAGAAAAACGGATTTTATCAAAAACTACTTTATGAATATCTTTTTTTGCATATTCCCAAATGCATACTGTGCGTGGTACCAGGATTATAATGATACATTTTTTCGAATGTTAGTGTGAAAGAAAATTGACAATTTATCACCAACTGTCAAAAATTTACGCTGACCTCGATTTGACCTTTGATGACCTACTTTGAAAACATTTCTGAAGAGATAATTGAATACGGTTTACAACAATACCAACAATAATGAAATCAGACAGGTAATAAAAATCGCAGAGGGGGAATGGTTGGGTCCATATGACCCCTCCTTGTGACTAAGTGTAATAAAAAAGGTTGTAGTCATTAGGGTTAAAGGGTGACGCATATCGTTTAGCAAATCGAACGCTCGTTTCTGGTGTTGCTCACCGTTTAGTATAAAAGGCCCGATCCCAGAATAATACTCAAGGGTTCACAGGTTCGATGTCGTTGTGTCAACACCTCTAACTGTTAGGGGCGGGGTCAAAATATCGATGTTCATATGGAGACGAAAGTACTTTCGCGAGGGGGGGAGCCCGGGGGGGAGGGGGTTTTTGGGCACTTTCGTTGACCAAAAAAACATCGATAATTCGGATCTGATATACAAAAAATAATTGGACTTACCCACTTTTTCTGGCGCTATGTTCTGATAAAAAGGTTTGTTTTCAATAGTTCGTGAGCTTTTTTGTGTGATAGGTCCAAAATATCGGTAGATAAAGACGATAATTCGATCATTTTTCAAATAAATTCCGTACTTTTCCCTCCTCCTTTTGAAGAGTTCAATGCAGTTAAGGACAGGGTGCATGTTGGGAAATTTTCTGCATTCCTCAATTGAGTCACATGTTATTTTTCAAACATGAATAACTCCTTCCCCACATTGTCTACATCTTCCAAGTTTTCACAAAGAGTGCACTTCTGTGCCTAGAAAAGCCTTGTGAGAAGGTTTATTTTGTAAAATGTATAAAAAATGAGAAAATTCAGTGAAAAAAAATTTTGAAAATTTTCTGATTTTTTTCATTGAATTTTCTTGTTTTTTATACACTTTATCAAAACATTCTTCTCACAAGTCTTTTCTAGGCACATAAGTGCACTCTTTGTGCAAAACTGGAAGATATAGACAATGAAGGGAAGGAGTGATTCTTGTTTGAAAAATAACATGTGACTCAATTGAGGAATGCAAAAAAATTCCCATCATGCACCCTGACCTTAAATTGTGAACGTGTGTTAATTCACCGTAATAATAACCCGGCAAATAGGATACGATTATTAATCAATGTTTTTTTGAAGTGACCTAAGCTTTCGTCTAGAGGGGGGGGGGGTGGGGGGTTGTTGTCCAAACGAAATTACTTTCGTCTCCATATGAACATTGATATTTTGACCCCGCCCCTTATATAGCATAAGTATATTATAGATCGTCACACATTTATAAAAGGGTGATTTTTATTTTGACAAATCAATTCCAAATTTATGGGTGAAGTTTCAGGATCTTCTATTTGTGTATAATAAGGAAAAATTGGCATCTAAATTTCCCCATAACGTAATAGCACACAGCTTGGCATATGAAATATCCTACAAATGAAACAAAGCAGTTCTAATACAAGGATTTATATTGGCTGTTGTACATGTACTGTTTGAACGCAATTACTCCATGGATAACGTTTTCAAAATCATTATAAACGGATTACTTTATCTCAAAGACAATTTCAATAAACTGGATTTTACAGAACTCCCCTTATTTCTTAAAAATGGACTGATCCAGTTGATTCGCCTGGAGCCGCCATATTGTTTTTATACGGGATGCTTATCGGAACCCTTTAATACTAAATGTCAATACTCAAAGCGCAAAAACAAAAAACTACTCAAAAAATTTTCACCCCAGATGCATAGTAGAGAAATTGTGTTATTTTAGAAACATAAAGGTTATACACACTTCAGGAATGACTATAGCAAACAACATACACACACATGTATAAATACATGATACAAAGTGCACCAGGTAAAATATATGTACGTAAGCGTCTTGACATTTCTCAGCCTTATCACCTTAAGAGTTTAAGATGGCGAACGAACATTTAGAAACGAGACCTGATCCCAGCACAAGAAGGGACTTGCGGACTAAAGATCGTGACAAAATGCTGTACAAAATCCAGGATAACCCGCCGATTCCCCTGGCGATGCTTTTTTCGCTACAGGTAGGCATTTATACATATATCAAAACTTTGATACTGTCCAATTCACAAGTAAATGCTTATGCCAACACGGTGGACTCCGGATTTTTGGGTCGAGTCCACTGGTGCGATTCCTTTTTAAATGGACCTTTAGGACGGATAGAAAGTTTTAGCTTGAAAACAACTTTTATTTAATTCGTATTTGTGAACAAACGTTGTTTTATCACATCAGTATATAAGGCGTCTATCTCTCCTCTCAGATTGCAGTGTCCAACCTCCAAGATAATATTTCTTTCAAAGGAAGGAATGAAGAACAATATCTGGAACCATTTTTGCGTCATCTCGCTGGAATTTGGAGCAAAGTAAACCTTGTAAATCAAAATGATCTTACAAAATGTCGAACTATTTTAGGTCTTGACATTGAGTGTATACATTAGAGCAAGGGCGTTGATGTAAATTGTACGTGTATGCCTAACCGTAGTTCACAATTATTTTTATATGTCCAAACCATTGAATTCGTTTTCTGTAATATTTTAAAATCACATTCCAATCTTACATTTTAGCAAGCTGTTATTGCAATCGGAGGGACGGTGATAATCCCGCTTATCATTTCCAATGTTATATGTGCGGGCAACAACATTCAAGTGAGAGCTAAGATGGTTGGAACATCAATATTTATGGTTGGGGTGTCAACTATACTACAGGTTACATTTGGAACAAGGTATTCTATCGTTTCTGTCTCATGATTTCCCTTTCAAAGGTTACCCCCCTATCACACCAAACTAGTTCTTACCCGTTCTTGCCAGTCCTACGAAAACGTCGTAAAACGGGCTCAATCTGGCTGTGGTCGGGAAATATGTCTGAAATAATTAGCTTCTTAGTTCTTAAACTGTCTTCAATACGTCCATTTCGTTCGCAGTTCGTTCAGGTCGCACCAAGTCGGTGTGCAACGTCGTAGAACGCGTCCCTTAGTCTAAAAGGTCAACATGACCTGATTACAGAACGGTATGGTCGCCATTGAATTTTGAATCGATTCAAAATTCTAAAATCTCATTCCCGTCTGAGAACGTTCATAAAGTTCGTAAATAGAACTTGCATTTGTCATATTTTTCTATTTTACTATAGGATTTTTGATGGTATTTTCGGTAATATTAATGAACATAAAAATATTACACAATACGTAAACACTCATTCTAATACGTAGCTTGCGTACATAATGGAGAAGTTAAGCTTTGCATATATAATCGAAACTGAACCTGTACGTATCACTCGACCATATACAAATTCATGTAGCCTTCTCATATAAATAGCCGTTCAAATCCAGTGTTTGTTTAGACTACACCATAGCGTGTAATGATTCTATAGTATGTCATTGATGCGGTTTTATAGCTGGTTTTCTAATACATATTTTAAACGAGCTCGTTTCGTAAGATTTTTGGCGCTAAATCATGCATGACATACATCATCGTGTTCAGCAAGAATTCAACTGTGCATCGAAATCAAAATTGACAGCATAGTGTTCAATAGACACGAGTAAAATGGTTCCCGTTGACCCAACGTCAAATTTCAAATTATCCCGTTCTGAACCCGAAACTCTGATGCTGAAAGAGTATCTGAAGTAGACTAAGCGCGCATAAAACTATGAGTGAAGTGAAGTTTAATTCATAAAACACGCTATAAAATCAAAAAATCGTTAGATCTTTTTCAGTTGCTCTATCCTCATAAAATCCTATAATATGGCTTTCTCATACAAATAGTCTACGTTTCTAAAAACAACTATGATTTAGTAGTATGTTTTGATATTGCATCCAAAGCTTCACCAAAGTCAGAGGACATGAACATCTCTAGTTTAACCATTTAATGCAGGTCACAATGATCAAAGAATCAGAAAAATGTTTAATGCGTTCACAGGTTACCCAAAATGTAGAAATGTTCAAAATATTCATTTTTTGTTAATTATTTTGCAGGCTACCAATTATACAAGGCAGCTCACCCAATATGATTGCAGCTATATCGGCAATGATGACATTAGATAAATTCAAATGTACTGCTACTGTTATGCCAAATGCGACCGTGAATGCTACAACAACCTATGTTGAATTCGATGATAATTGGGCTTTAAGAATTAGGGAGGTACGTTCTGAGTTATCGGATAAGTAAAGTTCATTTAGGCTATGCATAAATGAATATATGTGTAACGTTCCTTCTCGGATTAAGAAAACAACACAATTTAAGTCCTTCGATATGTACTTGTAACGAAATTAAAAAATACTTCTGAACTAAAGACATATGATTTCAGATCATATTTTTGTAAAATAGAGCATAGAACTGCGTTCATCAAGAAGTTAACGTAGTTCATATCGTGCGCGCCACTTTATTTACTTACTATCTGTGCATGTTTAAAACATGTTTATATTGCTTTTGAGAAATAAAGATATTTTATTTGTTTAATTCACCTCCACTCTTAAGACCCGGTTTCTGGAGATTCAAACTTCTAATTCATCATATAACACAGGAATAGCTATACAAAATGAACTTGTAAGTGAAATCTATTTGTTCAGGTTGTTAAGTTAATACTTTAAAAGGCATGACTATAAAATGTAAATGTGTTTTTGAATTCGCGACCTTCGAGAACCTTTTGAGAATCCTCCATAGGAGTGTCCACTCTGCTCAATAAGTTTGACAACCACATGTTTCAATTGTACATATATATGAACATGTTGATTTCATGATCAACGTGTGCTTACAATGATAGTCATAACATTTGTACAATTGTATACAATGTAGGTCATAACACAAAGTAAAATTTTGACAAAATACTAAAAATCTAGAAACCAACATTGGAAGTTCTCTGTGATTTAATTTCAGATACCCTCCCCTCCATAAGCTTTGCAACTGGAACACCAAGTTTAGTTCCAACAAAAAAAAGTTCAAAAGGCCTAAGTTAAGCTTTCATTTCCTGTTTAAGAACCCATATTCTTACGATTGAAAGTGGATTCTTACAATACTATATATTAAGTCAATGCACCCTTGCTGAAATCCTCATTTTCTCTTTTGTACTCTGTTATGTTACAATATCTATCAATACATTTAGTTTATCAATACATTCGTGAAAGAAATTAAAGTACTACTCTTACAGTGGATTGAGGCCTATTAGTCTATATGAGCATTCGTGATTTTCTATTGCATGATAAAATACAGGGTATTATAGCTATAGTTCAATAAGTACTGAAAAAATGCTGTAACTTTTTTTTATTTTTTCATATATCTGACTAATATTCCTAGTGCGCATTGTCGAGTATTATACTGATGTACTGTGAAAGTTACAGGAATATGCTCTAAAAGGAAGGTGGTGCTGGGTCGAGCCAAAGGTAGTTGGTGGTGGATCAGGTCTGCACGAAAAAAGTATCAAAATGCCAAAGGAGAACCCCCGATAAGGAGAGCCTTTTAGAAGGACATTGCTTTTTTATTCTGGATGTGATCATAATGGAAGTTTAACACTACATCAGTGATGATCTTAGACATTAGGTGATCTTAGATATTCCCAAAAACAACTTGTGTGATATAAAAATTGCTTTTTAAGAACATTTTTTGCAAGGCAATGAACTCGTTTATAAGGTTAGACTCTTTATTTGTGGTTAAAATCCGTATATGGCCTGATGGGATAGGAACAAAGTGTCACAGTTGTAAGATACCTATTTATCTGAACTCTTAGAAAATCATAAGAAATCAACGGGCGTTTCCCTATGTTTTTGAGACCTTTTCCACTCATGAGAATGACGGAATAATGGAACCAATACGTAAACAAATCTTAAAATATATTTCTGGTGGAGCGCCCATCGATTTCTTTATGAAAACTAAGACTTTGCTTCATTGTGTTACTTAGCCACATTCTATTTTGCTCGTACAGTAATGGGAAAGTTATTGATTTTAACCAAAATGTAACAGTTAAATATGGAAAATTGAATGTTATAACTTCACAAAAACCTTTCTTCAAACGCACGTTTTATTAATTCTAAGAAAATATTTCAGGATGTATCATTTCTAAAAGTATGTTAAAATTTCATGATGATCACTTCCAGAATAAAATAGTTGTGTCCTTCTAAAAAGCTCTCCTTATCGGGGGTTCTCCTTTATTGAATATTGCTCCTCAGTCAATTGCTTGTACACAAACTTGCACAGCAAAAAAAAGTGAATCAAATCCCCGAATCCTGGAGGCAGGATTCAAGCAGGATTCATATGCGCATATGAATCCTGTATGAATCCTGCCTTCAGGATTCGTGCAGGATTCGCTGTTTAAGTAGTTTACAAATGAATCCTGTAGCCAGGATTCGTGCAGGATTCATATGGAAGGTAGTTTACAAATGAATCCAACCTTCATGATTCGTGCAGGATTCATATGGAGGTAGTTTACAAATGAATCCAACCTTCAGGATTCGTGCAGGATTCATATGGAAGGTAGTTTACAATTTTTTTTTTTTTTTTTTTATAAAAAATAGATGTACATGGGGTAATATAGTAAATACAAGAGAGCATATTCAAGTGCTAATCACCATTTTGGCATTATAAGCACTCTAGCCAAGCGGGGAAAAAGATGAAGAGGGGTGGAAGGGGGGGGGTCTGAGCTGGGCTGGGACTGGAGGAAATACAGGGCAGAGGGACAATGTAATTTATATTTGCAAGACAAGGCAGGGTACAATAGGTTCTAAGATAGTCCTCTTCAGTCTTGTTCAATATGGGGTAAGCCATCTCTTAATAAAGGCAGAAGTCAGAGTAAAGATTTTTGTGTTTTCATCCTTGCTAAAATTATGATTGCCAAAGGCTAGGTATTCTAAAAGTGTGGATTGGTTAGTGGGGATCAAAGGAGTTTCAGTATAGAGAGTATTGAAAAAGATGGTTCTTGCATTTTCATTCAGAGGGCAGTGAAAAAAGAAGTGTTTTGGAGTTTCGGGTAGACCACAAGAACAATTAGGAGAGCTGATGAAGGTGTAATTGTGGGCAAAGAGTTGAGCCCTGAAGAGCAGGTCTACCCTAAACCTATTAATAAGTGTTTCTTCATTTCTAGAAATATTTAGCATTGAGGTAGGGATTATTATTATGTCAAGGTTGAGAAGGTGCTTGCGATTGTTGTTCTTAAAGGCAATGAGGGTTTTACTTGTTTGAATATTCTTTGGTACAGATAGCCAATGGGAGATTGCATTTGGTATGCAGGAGTTCAGGTATTTAGTAGTGGCATGGTTGGGTAGCCTAAAGGGGCGAGTATGTCGTAGTTCTCTTTGAGTATCACATCGAAACTTATCAAAAATATCGTTTATGTATGGTGGAGATGTACCTTTACTAACATTGAACATGAAGTTGTTAATTTGGAGTTTTCGTCTAGTTTCTAGGCTTGGCCAATTTAATATGTTAAGAACTTTAGCTGTGCTGGTTCCTGGTAGACAACCTGAACAGATAAGAGCACATTGATAGTAGGCACTATTTAGATATCCAAGTAAATACTTGGAAGATGAGTCAAAAAGAAGTGATCCATTGTCAAAGTGTGGGAGAATGTAGGACTTAAAAAGTGTTTCCAAGTGAGAAGATGTCAGTTTAGATTTGAGGGCTTTAAGGGGATTCGTGAGTTTGGTAATTTTATTTTGAAGACCTAAGATGTGGTCTTTATTTGATAGGAGTTGGTCAAAGACATATCCCAGATGTTTGTGACTTGGTACTCTCTGAATAACTTGGTTGAAAAGGTTTGAGTGATTTATATTTACATTATTGGTTCTGGAACTGTGGAAAATAAGTTCAAAGCTTTTTTCAGGTTTAAATGTTAATTTCCAAGTAAGTGACCAATTTTCAATAGCAAGGAGATTACGAGCAACAGTCTGATCAATGTCACTAGGGCTATTTGGGTCAAAGGGGAAATATATTGAGGTGTCGTCAGCATATATGAAACATTTGGAGTCTAGGTTATCAGGTAAGTCATTTATATATACTAGGAACAATATGGGACCAATGATTGAGCCTTGGGGAACGCCACAGTTGATAAAGTGTGGGTCGGATATGTTAGAGGATATGCCAGATATGTTAACCTTTATTCTGCGATCTAGTAAGTAATTTTTGAGTAGTTTGAGTAGCATGCCCCTTATGCCATAAGCTTTTAGTTTGTGTAATAGTAAAGTGTGGGGGACACGGTCAAATGCAGAAGCAATGTCTAAAAAGATAGTTTTTACAGATTTCTTGTTATTTATATTGTCTTGTAGGTAATGTTCAATTGCTGCTAGTTGAGATTGAGTGCTGTGGCCAGGGAGGAAGCCAGATTGGTATTTGAAAAGGAGGTCATTAGAAAGGAGATGTTTTGTTATTCGATTTGCAATGATCTTTTCAAGTAATTTAGAAATAGTACTCAAGAGGGCTATTGGTCTATAGTTGTTAATGTTACATTTATCGTTTTTCTTGAATATAGGACACACATTTGCTAGTTTCCACGTAGATGGGAATACACCTTTGGATAACATGATGTTGAAGAGTGTGGATAGTGGTTGGGCTAGAGTATGAGCTGTGAGTTTTAACATGTGATTAGAAATAAGGTCGGGGCCAGTAGCTTTATGAATGTCCAAATCTAAAATTAACTTCATGACCTCTTCTCGGTCCGTTTGAATTGAAATAAGAAAAGAGTTAGTTCTATCAGGGAAGTTTGGAATGGAATTGGGTAAATCGTAGGTGTGGTTTTTATCAGAAAAGAAATTAAGAAAGGCATTTGCTTTGTCGACATTCTTCATATGTAAATTACCATTATTATCAAAAATAGAAGGAATTGATGAGCAAGTTCTTTTCTTGCCACAGAGTCTACGAATAACTGACCAGTATTTTTTATCATTTTTTTTAAATTTAGAAATGGAATCAATAGCTTGTTTTTCAGATTTTGTTTTTGCATTTTCTATTAAGTTAGCAACTTTTTTGGCATGGTTTTTATATTTATTTATATTTTCAAGAGTGGGGTTATTTTTCATTTTTCTATAGAGACGCTTCTTTTTGTCAACTTGAGTTCTAATGTCATCATTAAACCAGAATTTATCGTTAGATTTAATTGTAATTACTTTGTTTGGAATAAAAGTTGAATAAAGTTCTTTAAGTTTGGAGGTAAAGTT